AGAGGATACTATAAGGCATCTAATGCCTAGGCAGACCAACCTTTCTGGGTTGCTAGCTAGAAGTAAGAGAAGAACTGATAAAGAATCTGAGAAAGAAAGAAGTTGGAATGTGGGTACTGGGGTTGTTGTAAACCTTGCAAGAGCAGGGAGTACATAATAGGTGACTAATTAGGAAGGTTGTGGCTTAAGATATGGATCAGGTTATGGCAGTATCTAAAAAAGATAGCTTGAGATATAAACCTGGTAGTAGTAGCACAACATGCACTAGTTAGGAAGAAGTTACCAAACAAGCAAGTAAGTATATATATTGAACATGTACTGTTCTTTAGGTTTACTACAAGAATAAATGCCTATTTGGCTAAAGTTTTAGAGTCATTCCATGGCATTACTAATTTTGAAGAGTATTAGAGTAGAGCATGTTACAAAGATAGAACTAGAAGATTTAAATAGATAACTTCCTAGTTAGATTATAGGTATGACAACTAGTGTAGAACTCTAGATTAAAAATAGCTTAGTTGCAAACTACTTAATTAGATATTCAAAAGATATACGTGTGACTAGTTGTATTCTTGTAAATTCATTGTAATATCATATTTATCTGAATAAAGCTATGTGCCAGGGGCCTAAGTGGTTACCTTAATATTTAAAAAAAAAATAATAAAAATAATCTTAGCATTTTACTTAATTTAATTTAAAATTTTTAAATAAACTATAGGTTTCATTCAATATTTTGATTTGATTTTTGATCTGGTTTCAGAAATATTATATTTAGTGTCAGTATTATCTAAGGTTTTGAATTTTAGTTTAAGTTCAATTAAGTTCAGTTTAATTTAATTGAATCTGAACTAAACTTAAACTAAACTCTAATTTTTTATTAAATTTGAACTTGAACTGAACTTAAATATAATAAAAGTTCAGTTTGATATTCAGTTCAAAGTTTATAAATATGTTTAGTTTAGTTTGAGTTCAAAATATATATGTGTATTTTTAAGTGCTAAAAAAGTTTACTTAGAGTATAAAGTTAGAATTAATTAGTAATAATTTGAAAATAATAGACTTTTTTTAGTATTTTTATTAATAAAATTATATAAAATAGTATTATTCTAACTTTATGCTATATTAAAACTTGTTTATCACATAAAAATACATTATTCTAATATTTTTCTTGTATATAATTTTTTGTAAGGTATTAACAGAATACTGTATGTATTTATCTTTTTTGTTTAAAATCCAAACTGATGAACTATATCTTCTTTGTTTTATTAGTAAATTTTTAAATATACTGCAAATCTGCCTCAATAAAATTATATTTTAATAAAATATATATATATAGTCAGACGTTCCTAAATGCACATTGTCAGGAATATCTCTAGAGCATGCATTTAGAGAGGGCTGCAATTAGAGAACACTAATAAAACCACAATATTACTGTTAGCACATGATATTGTGCCTTAAATAATGAATTTGATTGGCTGGTAATCATGTAAATGCATTTATGAGAGGAGTTTTTATAAGTGGGCCAGACAGTTAGCATGCACTTACAGAATAAAGAATGTGTATTTATCTACAAGTCCCAGGCTTATATTATGCATTTAGAGGGATGCTGCATTTAGAGGGGTGCTGCATTTAGAAAGGGTGCATTTAGAGGAGTCTGACTATATATAATATTTATCTACTTTCAATATACAGTCAACCCTTTACATAATCACACACTTGGGATACAAAAATGTGTAATTGTAAAGAAATGTGACAGTTATAGAGGTCAAATTTATTATATTTAATAATCATGTATTTTTAAAAAAATATGCCTATAAAGAAAATGTGCTTATATAGAAGGTGACTATAGAGAGATCAGACTGTATTACTAACTCTAAAACTGAATTGAGGCCTAAATAACAAAAATCTAATTGCTGCAAGCACTATAAAGACCTTAACAAGAGCCTGCATGCTACTATTGTAGGTAAGAAATTAGATTATTAGTAGGTATCATTAAGTTATTTTTTTTTAAAAAAAGTGTATTATCTTTTTTGCTGCATTTACCAAAAGCAAGCTAACAAAGTCTAAAAAATTGTTAATAAAGCTCTTAAAAATTGTATTCTTGACAAAAGTTCTTTTTAAAAGTAATCAAAGAAGTAAATATGAGTAGTAGCCTGTATGATAACAATTAAGAGAAAGAAAAAATTGTATATTTACTACTATATATCTAATTGACTTTATTTAAAGAAAAGCCCATTATTAGTAATTTCTATAGTCTTTGCTCTAAAATAAACATTAAATAAGAAAAACTCTAATTTAAGATATTTAAATTTATTATTGTTGTCTAAGCCTCTAAAAATTAACCCCGCATACACAAAAATTAGGCTACATATGTTCGTTACAATAATTTAAAGCTAACTAGATTCGGACTGATAGTCTTTTTGTGACAGGGTAAAAATCGTGACTTGGGATATATTTTTTGAAATAGTAGATTAGATGCATATTTACAGGTATATGGCACAGTTATTTCGTACAAATTCGAACGAATTTGTAGATTGTTCAATTTTGAATGAAGTCGATCATACAATTTTGTATGAAGTCGTTCATACAAATTCGTACAAGGCTGTTCACCTTCGTTCAAATTCGTACAATTAGTATTTTATATATAGGGAACATGATAGAAGTAGTTTAAACAACAAACACAGCCATTATGTATGCAGCATTGGTCTAAAGTATTTAATACCTATCTTTTCGCTTTAATAAAAGATAATACTAGAGTTCGACTTAATCTGAGTCTATTATTCTGACTTTAATGTTTCGTCAAATTACCTCCTCCCCGATAAGTCAAATTAGCATAGAACTAGTAGTCTAAAACCGTGATCTCGGAGTAGAGCCTCGTGACGTAATCCAGAACTCTATCTGCACATCCGCAATCTGTGACAGGTTAAGCCACTAATTTCAATCACCGTCCGATTATTCCCAGCGTAAGACTTGACTATTATAAACTATTAACAAAAAATACCTGAAGTCAGAATTTAAAAACTTATAAATTCAGAAGTTGCTTTTTGATATTAACTAAAAAAATATTTATTTAAAAACAATAAAAAAACTTTTAATTTTAAAAATAAATAACGAATACCACATAAATATTCCTCTAGCATATTATAATTACTTTAAGCAAAGCAAACAATATGTCGCTTTTTTAGCCGTGCTAATTGTTCAACATATTTTTAAATGATACCTTTTTTACTTAATTTTACCTTTTATGAATTAAGATAACTCAAAAGAGCTGAATTCACCCTTTTATATTATTTATTCATGAACCCATGTTTTCGCAGCACTTTTGATTGAACAGTCGTGACTAAATCATAAGAAAAGTATTCGGAAGATTTTATTTTTGTTACATTATACTGAGCTTTGAGTTTATCTAACACGATTTGTAATTTGGCTAAAATTTTGACAGTTTGAATTAATAACTAAAAATGAGGTGATGCCAAAACTATCGTTCTATTCCATTTCTTAATTACGATTTATAAATTTTTTTTTAAAATATATTCAAATTTGTATGACCTGCGAGGCATTTAAAGACCTTCATATTAAAAAAATTTTTTTTTTTTTTATAAACTTAATTAAAAAATTTGTTCGCTTTTAAGCCTTATTAGAAGTCGATAGGGTTATTTAAACTTTTAATTTGCACACTTTTATGTTAGATAAAAAAAATTAATTTATAAAATTGAAAAAAAAATAATATTCAAATACGATCAAATCGTTTTTTATATATTCAACTTCGTAATAATAAGCTTTTCAAATTTCAATAGCTTTTCCATCATGGTTTAAGGCATAGTCGGACGGTGATTAAAATCAGTGGCTTAACCTGTCACAGATTATGGACGTGCGCTCTATCTGACCTTAATAACTCGGATCAAGTCTCCCACGCCTCTTTTATAGAGTTTAGTAGTTTAGAGTGTTGTTTGGATTAGTTTTAGTGTATATAGATATCCGTATCACACATCTTTCCCGATTCCGGATCAGTTTCCACGCCCACACCGTCCCATTAAAGACCAGACTGGCCCGGTTCTAAAGAGGACTACAGGACCAGCGGTTTTAGTCGGACTGATTAACAGCCCTAATTCTCATATGCTTTTCATATATATTTCTTAATTTAGACATTTCGACATTATTTAGACATTTCGGTATAATTTAGGATTTCGCCAATATTTAGACATTTCGGCAGACTAAATATCAAATGTCGAAATATTTCTACAAGCATAAAACAATTTTGGCTAACAACATTATATAGTACCCCGGTGAATTTCACATTCGATGAGCGTTAAAATCGTCCTATTCAGTAATAGGCATTTTAAATTTATAAACTTTAATCTAAAATATCTCAGCGATTACCTAACCAAATTCATTAAACATTTTTTTTTTTGTTTAAATTCTCATGATCTCTAATTAAAATAAAAAAAGGTATATCGATTTTGGTTAAGTGTCGAGATATCATCAATCAAATTTTAAAAAATTGTTAAAAATTATGATATTTGTGCAAATTTCATACTTGGCAATAATCACCAAGTGTTAAAAAATAATGGTCAGTTGCTACGCCATTATCATATGAGTTTGTTGGTAATAACCCTAATCCTAATAGTGTATAACTTTTTATTGCTACTGCGCATATTTGTTGTTCTAATGAGATATGATTGGTCAACCGATGTAGATTAGTAAAAGCCACTGGGTAGTAGTAAAATTTTCAACATCGCTACGTTCTTGGTATTCGAATAATTAGCCAGCTAATTTTTAAAATTACCTTATAAATAAGAATCAACTTCAAGTACTAAATTTTAGATGCAATAAATCATGTGACCAATTATAAATTACTTTTATTTAAGATAAAATTTTTATCTTTTGATCATATAAAATTATAATTTAGGTTTAAATAACAATTTTTATGTAAAATGATGTTACAAACTTAAAATACAAAAAAAAAGAATATACCTATATATTAGTAATTTTTCAAATATAAACTATATGTTCCATTTACCCAACTTCTTTAATAGATTGATCGCTCTTTCATTGTTATTAGCGGCAGCTAATTTTAAATAATTTAACCCGCGTTCTTCATCCCTCCTCACATTAAGTTTTCCACTCACATAAATGTCTCCCAGATAATACATTGCATCAATATTTCGATTATCAGTAGCTGCTAATTCAAAATAATGCAGAATTTCTTTTTTCAATTCTTTTTTTTTAGCCTCATTATTTACTTTAGGAAGGTCAGCAAGCAATAAAACCGCATATCTACACTGTGAATCCGCATGGTTATTTTCATCAGCAGCTTCTTTGAAATACTTTTTGGCTTGAATTGGATCTTTTTCTCCATGATGTCCGTAAAATAAGTAATATCCTAGCCAGAATTTTGCTACTGGATTATCAAGTTCAGCATTTTGTTTGAAACATTCCCATGCATCTTTATACTTCTTATTTTGATGCATCTTTGTACCCTCTTCAAGAGGTATTAGGGCAGGTTTGTCGTCAACTTCTTCAGCTTCATCTTCAGGAATTTCAGGAATTTCGGGATTATCATCAAAATTTGGCAAAGGTTCAGACCTCTGTCCATCAAAATCCAATTCTTGATCTTCAAAAAGTTGTGGAACACCAAAAGAAATTGGGAATTTTGTGGCTAGTTCTTCAAGTTTTTGGTTTAGTTTAGTAATAGTTATTCGTAATTCTTGTTGATGACACCATGCTTTTTATCAATTAAGTAAATTAAAAATCAGACAATTAATAAAAATAACTAATAAATAAATAAAATATCTTTGTAGAATTACCATCTTGAATGATTTGAATAAATTCTAATTGAATTTTATTATCATTAGGAGTTTTAAAAGTTTTTCCTATTAAAATCTTTTCTCGTTTACCATCCAAAACATGATCAGAAATTTGTTTCATATTCCAATTACAGTAAGGCAACTTTTCGTAACAAAGTTCCCATAAGAGCATTCCAAGACTAATCGTGAAAAATAATAATTATATAAGATGGAAAAAGCAATCAATTCAAATATTTATATAATTACCTGAACATTTCACAATTAAATGTATATACTTTTTTTTCAAGTTTGTTACTAATATATTTTTTGATTAACTCAGGAGCCATCCAGCGAACAATAGCTGGTGCCATATTTGAAAGATTTGTAGAAATACCATCTACTTCGCGCGCATATCCGAAATTTCCAAGTTTTACGTTCAAATTTTCTAATACCTGTAATTTTAATGTTAGTAATTATTATTTTAGATGTATTAAACATTATTTAATTATACTTACAAAAACATTTTCGCACCTAAGATCATGATGGAAAATATTAACAGTACGTAAAAATACAAGACCAAGAACTATATCTTTAGCAATTTGTATTTTCCTAGTCCAGGAAATATCATGTTTTTCATAAAGATCCTTTAAAGTTCCTCTTTCAGCCCATTCGAAAATCATTACTTTGGAGTTATTGATTTCTGAGCAACCATAAAACTTAAGAATTTGAGGTGATAGAGCTAGTTTGCCAAGGATTGCCAGTTCAGTTTCATATTCGCAATCAATAGGCTTACATGAAACTTCTATACTTGATCTATAAATCTTTTTACAGACTTTGCCTTTATTTGTTTGAGTTGTAGGATCCACTAATTCACTTGGGTCAATCTTTTGCACTTGCACATCACCTGACTTATTCTTTTGAGATTTTATATAGTCTATACCTGATGCTATTCCATCAAATCGATTGCAAATTGTTTCTTCTATTGCATCAAATCTATCGTTCATGTTATCATTCGTTTGTTTGATATTATCATTCATTTGTTTGAGTGTCTAAAAAAAATAATTATAAAAAGAAATTCAAGATTGAATAATAATATTATTATACTTTCAAATAACTAAACTTACTTCATCAACTTCTTCTAAAGATTTATTAACTCTTTCAGATTCAATTGCACTAGAAACATCGATCGCAAAGTTCAGATCGGACATACATCTATCAAATTCATCTCTTAATTGATTAAATCCATTTTTAACATCAGTTGCATGAAGAAATCTTTTATAACCTTTAAGTTTTGATACTTTCTTAGTATATTCTTTAATCTTTGTTAAAGTATTTTTAAATCTTTCAAAAGCTTTATAATATGATTTATTACGAAAATCATCCTTTTTGTTTTCTATGCTTCTAACTATTTTATCCATAGAACATTCTGCTGCTTTTACTCGATCAACCATAATGAGGCAAAGATCTCTGTTACATTCTGCATTCTCGTAAATTTGATAAATTTCTCCAACTAGTAGTTTCACTGTACCGATTACAGGCATATAAGTGGCAAATATATCAGTACCAACGCTAAAAACTTCGGTTGCAGTATCAGTGCAAGAAATTTCGGGTGTAGTAACAGTCATGGTTAAGGTACTATAATATTACATTTAAAAGTTTGAGCATGAACGCAATAATCTCTAACAAATCTTTTATAGAAATCTTGATATGCACGTTTTATATAGTGAATTCTTTAATTCTTTCATTATCTGATATTAATATGTCTTTATAAAAAATTGTGTTACTGAACAGGTTTAAGTCAAGTTTATCCAATATTTTGTCATAATAGAAATGTATTTGAATGCGCCAAGAGCACAATAGATCTTTACGTCTTTTGAGACTACATTTTAAGAAGATATCTATGATTTAATGGACTGATATACTCTATTTACTTTGTTAGATAAAATGCGATTGCAGGAGGCGTGCACTTATTGTCATTTGTGAGTGTGATACAAGCCCAGAAGTGAAATCAAATTTCGTATAACATACCGAAATAGTTAAGCTTAAAGTATTTTAGAAATCCATTTCAGACTGGACCAAATTTTAGACTATTTTAAACTAATCACCATAATCTTGTGATTTCAAGATTACTACCTACGTACGTACGTACGTACGTACGTACGTATATACGCACGTACGGTCTAAGAAATCTAAAATCCACAATTATACCTTATAGAGATACATCAACGAAGCGTTGTTGCTCACTTTCCCGATGTCTTATCACCGACAGGCCATCTACTCGACATCACATAATTGGATCCGGTTATATTTCTCATATGTTAAACCCAGTTTAAATCGGTTTAAACATATGAAAAATAAAGCCGGTTCCAAGTTCTAAGATTAGTTTAGCTTTTT